CCGATATGGAGGAGAGTTCAAACAACTCACAACCCCCATAAACCATGTCTTGCCAATATGGGTACAAAATCATATTTTTTTAGATGAATCCTTAGTGCCTTCGGGCAGAGCTTAGTGGATCCACTTAGTTGAGAGGTTCTATATCCTGACATGATATAGGACAATTTGGCACTGTGGACAAGACATTGTAGCATCACGTAGCTCATAGTGATGGTTATTGGTTAGAGAATCTCTCAATATAGTTAAAGTCTATTTAAAATATTTCAGCTATTATGATGAGTAAAGTTTTAAATGATTCTACTCATTTATTTCTTTACATTCAGTTAAGTATATATCTATATGTATTGCAGTTCTCTCATTCAATTATTTGTTATTCATCTATATTACATACTCATACATTCAATGTATTGATATCATTCGACTTGCATCTATAATGATGTAGATACATATTATTAGGATCCTCAATAAGAGTCCATTAAGATCACTTCATCCGCTCATCAGCTTTTGAGTCAGACCTCCTTGCTTCTGGAGGACTCCAGTTTTATGAGTTGTTAGTAACAGTTCTCTTGAGGAGTTGTGGATCTTGTCCCGACACTCATCTTTGTACAATAGAGGCTTCATAGATAGACAACTTTGGAGAGTCTTTCAGTTTCAGATGTTTTATTTAAAACTTATGTTTCATACTCAGTATATTCAGAGAGTTTTGAGATTTAATACACTGTTGATTTATCATTTCTTTCAGACTGATGCTTACAAGATACTTTATTTTGTAGGAACGACAAAATGAGTATTTTTTTTTTATGAATCGTTCACAAATTAAAAACATCACTTATTTTATAACAGAGAAAGTAATACTTTTTACTTCCATTTAACATAATATATGTTATCATCTATTATCTGTTGTCCCAATATATGTGTCACAAATGAACGGACTTATATGTCTACTTGTTTTGGGTTTATCGTCTGCATGTTCTCTTAAGTAATTGCTTTGTTTTTGGGTAATGACTCGATTTATTCTTCTCTTTTTGTGTTCTATTTGGGTTTTTGGTCCCATTGGATTATGATGATTTCAGATTGCAGTTGAAGTGTTTGATAAAAGTCCTGACTAAGCTTCTGCTTCGTTGATCAAAGAAACCAAATTGTGTGTTTCTTTGTTATCCTCGATTTATTTTTCGTGCTTTTATTTGAAATCTTTTCACCAATATGGGTTGTGGTGCACTGATCTTCACCTTTAACCAGAGGTCTCGGGTTCAAGCCCTGGGTATGGAGAAAATCATGTTGGGAGCACCATCCTCAAATGGGCCCTGCAGAGTGCGATCTGAATTTAATCGAATTTCTAATGTGGGCTCCGAACACTGGGTGAAAAACCAAAAAAAAAATAAAATTCTTCAACTGTTTGATGTTGAATCTTGCTCGAATTTGGTTATTCCCCTTTTCGTGCTTCAGCGTGTTGTCCCCTTAGTTAGGTTTACTATGTGAAAAATCACATTTTGGTTGTTGTTGTTATTATTGTTGTTTCGATATAGTGTAGAATTTAATTTATGTTTGGAATGACAGAGAAAAACTTGCACTTCCCAAGAAAAGTTTATTCTTTGGTTGTTGCAGTAGACATCAAAGTGGCTTTTTAGTGTTGCATACAAATTCAAAATGAGGTCATAAACTTCACATTTTGAATCAATCGATTTGTTTTATTACCTACTGAAATATGAATTTTACGTGTTAGTTCGTTATTATATACATAGTATGCTTACTTTATGAAATTTCAATTTATAATCTTCTAGTGTATATTGTTTACGTAGTATGCTTACTTACTTTGTGAAATGAATAAATGAAGTATCAAATAGAGTTTTGCATTTTCAAAAAGGTATCATTAGGGGTGTACAAAATCGAACCGAAAACTGAATCAAATCGCAAATCGAAAAAAAAACCCGACTAGTAGTTTGGTTTGACTTGGTTTGGTATTGGAAAAAAAAATCCGACTATATTTGGGTTGATTTGGTTTTAACTAAAAAAAACCAACTCGAGACCAAACCAACCCGACATTATATATGTAATTTAAAAATTTTAATTTATACATAAAAATATTTACTTTGATATAATTTTAAAATATTTCTTATACTATTTCATAGTTTTTATCTTTTAATATATTATTTCAAGTTTAAAACTTAGAATTCGAAATGGTCCAATAAATATTATAGTTCATAGATGTTGATAATTATAATAAAACTTAAATCAAAATCAAATTAATACTAATGCAAAAAGAAAATCAATTCAACACTAAGAATGATATTGAATACAATAATATTGAATACTTGTTCTTTAGTTTTACATTGGTTTAGACAATTAAAATACATAATCTAATTTTAATTTTCCTTAAATATTTAGTAATGTAACTAATACTTATTAAACTTATTTTAGCATGATTTAGTACTTTTAAATTATGATAATTTTCATTATGACTTTGCAATATTTATTTTATATGATGATTTCATTATTATTTTTTATTGAATATTTTAGTGTCATCCGTACTCATCTCATATTTTGTGTTATTTTCTTAAGAAACACCTTAGATAATTGTATTTTGGTTAGACTAAAGAAATATTTGGAGCACAAGTTAATTATATGTTTGTATGCAAACTTTACCCAAAAAATCTGAAAAATTCAAGGTTTATTAGTTTGGTTTGATTTATAAATTTAAAAATTCGACACAATGGTTTGGTTTGGTATTTGAAAAACCCGAACCAACCGAGGTTGAAAAACCCAAAAAAATCTGAATTTTATTAGTTTAGTTTGGTTTATAAATTAAATTCTTTTACACAAATAATTTAGTTTGATATTTGAAAAATTCGAACCAACCCAATCATGTACACCCCGTAGGTATCATAAAGTATCATTATGAGAAAGAGCCAGAAAATGAAAGATGTGGATTACACATGAGTGGGAGGAAAATAGGAGGATTGGGGAAGTGGGAGTAGGTGTTGTCTATGATAATTAATCCCAATAACTTTAACATATGTGGTGCAATGAGTGACATGTGTCATGCACTTCCTATAGAATTATCACAAAAGATAAGAAAAAAAATCATAATACATAAACTTATTTTTAACTTTGACTTTATATGATATTTTTGTGGCATAATATCTAAATACTTTAAACTTGATTCAATTGGCATTTATGTCCTTCAATTTTGAGTGTGCATAAGTAGGCACTCAAACTTGTATAAAATTAAACAAGTAGACACATGCATCCAATATAACCAATTATGTGGCAGTTTGCATCCTACATGGCGTTTACGTGTTATATGTCATGTAGGATGTGTGCCTATTTATTCAATTTTATAAAAGTTCAATTGTCTACTTGTATACACTCAAAGTTGAAAGGCATAGATGCCAGTTGAAATCAAGTTAAAGAGTATATTTATGTATATTAACCACCCCCCCCCCTCCTCCCCGACATCCTACATGACAATTTGCATGATGACCTATGTGGTGTCCTACGTGTATTATGTCATGCAGAACTCATATGCCTACTTGTTCAACTTTATACAAGTTTAAATGTCTACTTGTGCATACCCAAAGTTGGAGGGCATAACTGTGAAATGAGGCCAATTTATATGGCACATTTATATATTATGCCTTTTATTTAACATCATTGTTCGCGACAAATTTTTGTTGTGCTGAAAATTAACTGTAATTAAAAATAAAAGAAAAAAGAACCTTTATTTATGAATCTTTGTGAGTACTGTTTCGTTGTTCTCTTGATTCTTCTCTCCTAATATTTTTCGTGCTTTGAGGTCTAACAGTAGCATATTTATCGAATGTAGGATGATGTAGACCTCATTTGAGATATGTTTGATCTCCAAAAATGCCAGACTACGCTTCTTCTTTTCAAGTCGATCTTCGGAAAGAACTTTATTGACCACTTTGTCGATAACTATGTAGTTGATGTTATAACTTTCTCCAATACTTGCAAAAAGTCCTCAGAAAAAAATGTAACCCTCATATTTATAGTTGTAGGAGGGAGTCAGTCCAAATGTGGATGAACTCTTTTGCCTTCTTCTGATTGGTTCATGTGAATCATCAAGCTTATCACAAATACTATGTGGATAAGGTTGCTTTTTGATTGATTGTTGAACATTGACCAGAATTGCCACATCATTTGACCACGTGACATCTTCTTGTTGGTCTTTGAACTTGACTAGGATTCCAAGGCACCTCGACACGTGTCATGAGCTTGGGTCTCAAGATGAAATGGACCTTGACTTGAAATTAATAAAATAGACTTATTTATTTGTGAAGCCCAAATTAATAATCGACCCAAATGAACATGAATTTAATCCAAATTTTGTATGAATTTAATTCAATAAAATTTATGTGTCTACAGACTACAAACATTTATTGCAATATATAGTAATATTATGACAAATCTGCATTATGTATTAAAAGTGAATAATGCATGTAATACAAATGTATTATAAGTGTTATAAAATATATTATACTTATTTGACAAGAAATTGACACAATGTATTAAAGTGTGTGATAAATATATTATGTGTCAATAACACTTGTATTATATGTATTTTATAAATTTATTTTCTATAATATGTATTAAAAGGTAAAACTGTATTATAAATATCTTATCAGTGTTAAGTGAAAAAAATGTTATTGCTATAGATGGTAAATATTTTTTTAATATAGCATGACAAGATACTTTATTGGTAAGGTCAAATGTATTTGGATTATGCCTTACATTACATATATCTCACGTGCAGGATACAAATCAATATAAGGATAATTCATGGGCGCCAAATCACTTCTTTTTACTAAAGGATAATTCAATACAAGGAGAAGAAAAAGTTTCCTAATCAACAAGGAATTTTTCTCTTTCACATAAAATAAGGAAGTAATGGACCCATAAAAATTCTTTTATCTTTTACATTATGTAAAAAAATAAAAAAACTAGCAAAGGTAAGGAATAATTCCAACAAACTCATCATATATAAGATAATATAAATATATTCTTTAACTCGAACATAATGACATCATCATCTAGTATGATAAGAATCATTTATTTGAGGTGAAATCGAAAATGAAAGTACTATGGTTGGCTTGCCATGGAAATATAAAAGGCAAAGTCCTTTATTAACGTTTTTGATTCCATGGCATCACTCTTGACAAGGTTGATAAGGAGTCGCAATCAAGTATAGGTTACTCTTTCTAGCACATGTTATTCCAGCAGATTCAGTTAAGTCCAAATCACTTGGATTGATTCCAATAGGAAGTTTCCAATCAAAGTGATACAACAATTTAGCTAGTGGGAAAAAAATATTAGCTAAACCAAATGATATCCCTGGACAAATCCTCCTTCCACTACCAAACGGAAGAAATTCATAACTGTTACCAATAAAATCTACCGAAATCTGCTCAAATCTCTCAGGTTTGAAACACTCTGCATCAATCCAATATTTAGGATCTCTTCCGATAGCCCATGCATTAACCATAACTTTTGTTTTCAAAGGAATAGTATAGCCATTTATGTCTACTTCTTCCCTACATTCCCTTGCGATCAAAAGGGGTCCTGGAGGATGGAGTCTGAAAGTTTCTTTGACAACCAACTTAAGGTAATTCAATTCTTCGACATCATTTTCGTCAAAAGTTTCTTTTCCTGTGAAAGTGTTTCTTATCTCAGCTTGAGCTTTCAAAAGTACACTTGGATTCCTCATCATTTCCACCATGGCCCAATCAATTAATGTTGATGAAGTCTCTGTTCCCCCAGAAAACATGTCCTTCATTCATGAACAAATTAATTACTTATATTCAGTGGCGGAGCTAAAGTGTTGATTACGGATTCAAGAGAACTAAAAAGCTTTAGTTCAAACTTTGTCTTTCTATTCAAAAATCATTTACTCTCTCTCTCTATATATATATATATATATATTAGAAAATGACCAAAATAGTCCTTAATTTATGGGTAACATTTTATCTTGGTACTTAATGTATTTCACTTGATTGAAATGATCCTTAATGTATAACAAATGTGTTCATTTTGGTCCTTAATGTATTTCAATAGATTGAAATGGTCCTTAATGTATAACAAAAGGTGTTCATTTTGATCCTTTATCCTAGATCTAACAGATTTTTTATTTTTTTAAAAAAAGTGTTAAATCCAACTATGGACCCTATGTGGCTAACAAAATTCATCATTATTGTCTTCTTTGTTAGCTCCAAAGAAAAACTCAGTGAAATATAACACCATTGTCTCAATTTTCTCTTAATAACAATTTAATATTTTCTCTTACTTAAAAAGAAATGGATATTAGAAGGTACTTACAAAAATAATAGCTTTGATATTGTTCTTGGTGATTGGAAATTGAAGGCCTCCCTCCTTCATTAGTCTTAGCAATGCGACAAGTAAACCTTCACCTTCTAATTCACCATTGTTCTTGTGCTCATTGATGATGTTTTCAAGAATGGCATCTAATGCATGGTGAGCATCCATAATTTTACCCTTCATTCCACATAACACATGAAGAAATTTTAGTGATGGAAATAAATCAGCCACATCAAATCCTTCCATTAAACGTGATGCTTCTTTAACGAGTTCTATAAGTTTATTTTTCTCTTTTAATACTTCCCCAAATGCTGATCTACAGATCATAGAGCTCGAGAATTGATAAATCCTTTTTGTTACATTAACTGTCTCACCAGAAGATGATCGAAAAAACTCAATCATATGAAGAACTTCATCTTGTCTAATAGAGCTGAATGACTTAACATTTTTGGCGCTAAGCAATTCCAATAGACAAATTTTACGCATTTGTCTCCAATAATCTCCATAGGGGGAAAAGATAATATCGGTCCCTTTATAAAAGAGAATCTCGCCAACTAGAAGCTTGGGCCTAGATGCAAAAGCGAGGTCATGAGTTTTTAGTACTTGTTTGGCCATGTCAGGAGAAGTAACAACAACTAGAAAAACTTCACCTAGTTGAAGGTGCATAATTGGTCCATATTTTTTGGCTAAATCTCTAAGGACTTGATGTGGAAGTCCACCTAACAAATGAAACATGCTTCCAATTAAAGGTAATTTCCATGGACCTGGAGGCAATCTTTTGGTTTTGCTATTGGAATTCTTCCATTTAATTAACAAAAAGAGGAAACACACAAAAAGGAAAAGGGAAAAGAAGTTGAAGAACTGCATATTTTGGGAGGTTTTTTTTTTGGCTTGGTAGGTTCTGCAAAGTGTTGTTGCATATTTATGCTCTTTTATAGGCTGTCTGTTTTCGAAAGAAATGGCATTTGTTTATCAATATGTGTGGGGCGGAGTGTTGATTGGTCATGAACTTGCACGTCTAAAAGATAAAAATAATGGAAATAAGGATGCTGAGATAAATGTGTAGGTCTACTAGGAGAGATAGAATTAGGAGCGAAGATATTCAGGATGAGATGCTCTGACCTCCATGGTCAACAAGATGAGAAGAGGCGAGATTAAAATGGTTCGGACATTTAAAGAGGAGTTGCACAGATACCACAATAAGAAGGTTTGAGAGGCTATGTATGGTAGGTCTAAGGAGAGGTAGGGTAGACTAAAAAGGTATTGGGGAGGTGATTAGAATAATAAAATAAACCTCTTTTCATTCCTTTTGGATATCCAACAAACACGGGCACATTCATTCTTTATCCCATCAAAATTGTTTTCCTTTCAACACATTTGTTAGACAATTCCATATTGAAACATGTCGCAGATTAGACTTACATCCAATCTATCTTTAAGGTTTACACATAATAACTTATAAGTTTTCATAAAGATGTAGCATCAATTTTTAAACTGAGACCTGAATTTCATCAATTGGCTATTATTTTACCAATGTATTTGTTATCTCCAAATTATCAAGCATATTAATTCATAAAAGAATCTCACCTATTAGTAAATCAAAACAATAAATAATATACATAGCTAAAATAATTATTTCAAGATCAAAAGTATAAGTTCATTTAACGGACTAGAAAATTTGTTTTATCAAAGGCAATATAAAATATTTATCTCTATTTGGTTCGTTCAGTAGATATAAAATGTATTAGCACAAGAAGTTAGAACTACACCGCTTTCACAATTAAGATAAGTTATATTTAATCTTATGCTATAATGTTACCGATGACTTGTTCAATTTCCATTTTAGATTCTACACATATTATTTATACTAATAAGAATCGACGATCCATTTAATCTTCTGTGTGTAAGCTAAACTCTATACATCAAATCATCTATTATATAAGTAAAGGACACAGAGACGAATACATGATCTATTAAATCTTTATTAAAATTGAATGAACAATTATTCTATAATAAATATTATATCTAAACACATGCATGGTTAATAGTATATATATCCCAATAGTCTCTCACTTAGACTTTTAATCATGATACTTGTTAGAATATATCATATCTAAATGCATTGTTAATGGTATATACCTCAACAATTGAAGTCGACGATTATGATAAAAGGTTAGTAGATAGTCAAGCATTACATAGTTCCTCGTATCATTATTACTAATAATCTAATATTATTCTCCTACTATCTTATTATTCAATTTTATTATTATCTCATTTTTTTCCTTCGATTATCATATTATTTGTTATTGCTACTATTTTTTCTCATTATGTTTGTTATATATCTTTATCAACATCTTATCAACAAGTCATTCACTAGACTTGGAAGAATAAAAATTAGACAAGCAATTTAGTTCATTGTAGTCAATTCATGAGGCTGCTAGAAATTTGATTGTTGCCCTTATTTTCAAGGTTGATTTTTCTCAATACAAGATTATTCAATCTGATACAACAATTCGTTTTGTATATATTATTGTATTACTGATACAAAGCGAATTATTGTAACATTAATATAGAATGAATTTCAAAAATTATTGTATCACTAATATAAAATGAATTATTGTAGCAATAATATAAAATGGACTTCAGAAACTATTGTATCACTGATACAAAACGAATTTTTCATAAATTTGCCTCGTGCAGTTTGGTAATCAAGCTTTCACGTTTGATAAAATTGATGTAAAATTATTTTACTGATATTTAGGACTTTGAAATCGTTTAAAGTTTGTTTATGAAATCGTTTTTTATTTGAACTATTTATAAATTTCTAATATTTAGAATTTTAAAATTAATTAATAATTTTATCTAATATAAGTTATTTCTTTATTTAAATAATGTAATACAATTATAATTATTTCTATGTTATTTTTCTAAATATATATCCTTGAGATCAGCTTAAATTTTATTTATCAAAGAAAATGTTTAATGACAATTAGTTTTTTAATTTTTTTTACCATGTGTATAAAAAAAACATTTGGTCCATTTCGAAAACTAAAACCGACGAACAAATATAAGGAGAAGTTTATATTAAGCATGTAATATTTGCTTATTAAATATTTTCTTATTTACACTGTTTTGAAAATCGTAACATTTAGGACTTCAGGCTCTAGATTATGACCGAAATTTTAGAGACACATCTTAACTAAACTAAGGTCCTATTTAACCCCCCCTCCTCCCCCCCCCCCCCCCCTCTTTTTTTTGGTATTGTATATATTTTTGGTTTACGTGGCACACTCTGTGACTCCACTTAGTTGAGCAATGTGGGAGATGTTTGGAGGTTCGTAAGCCTAAGACCTTAGTTTAGTTAAAATACGTCTCTGATATTTCGGTTATAGTCTAGGGGTTACCTGTGCCTTATCAGTCATGTCTCCTATAATTAAAATCAAAAAGTCACATGTAAGAATTTTTATGGAATAAAATTTCTTCCAACAAGAGCTTAGACTTTTCTTATTTAATTTTATTATATACCTTCAAACATAATATTGTTAAATAGTGTATAATCCTTTAATTTAGAACAATGGAAAAAAGATATTTATTTCACAAAAAATAAAAATCATCAACAAGCTTGTGTGGATCTTTACATCAATTATATAATTTAATAATATTTATGAATTTTTTTAAAATTATATACTCAAAAAAATAAAATATGCGTGTGAAACGAGTTATACATATATCTGAGCAATCGTCTATAAAATTATATGTAAGATGCCAACAAAACAAACTATTATCTTCTTTATAAAATAAAATATTATTAATTATATAAAGGTCATTTTTGTTATTTTAATAGTTCTAATCTATATATCATTAATGAAAAATGATTTAAAATAACTCTAAACTAATTGAAAGAGGTCAATTTTATCTTTTGTTGTATTTTTTGCTAAAAAAAATACTCTTTAACTAATCAAATAATTCAAAAATATCCTTCTTATTAACCGTTATTCCAAAAAAAAATCAATTTTGTTCTCGACTATTCAAAATTAAATCCCTTAAAGTCATGGTGCAAGGTTTGAAATGTAAGAAGTCGAACTGACAAAACTCATCCAATGTCTTGTTTTCATGTTTGGGTGCGCATGGTATGATACGATATTTGAATTTTTGCTTTGACAATTTCAATTTATAGTTTTTAAAAATATCATATTATACTAAATTAATTCGCTATGGTTTAGTAATTTTAGGTTCGATTTCAATATTTTGTAATATGATTAATCGATAATCATAATATGTTCAACCTAAATATACTCGTATAATAAAGAATTATGATAGGCTTTTTATAAGTTTTAGTGTCACATATATATTATACTAAGTGCATGTTTAGATTGATTTATTTTAAATGTTTTTAAGTCAAAATAACTTTTAGGCACTTTTGGAGTGTTTGAGTAAATTTACAAGTGTTTATATACACTTGATTTTCAGCTAAAATGATAAAAATAAGTGAAAAGCTATTATGAATTTTGGCTTATGGTTTATAAGTTAAAGTTAAAAGTCAATCCAAACAAACTCTAATAGCGTTTACACATATAGAAATATATATTCAAACGAAAATACAAGCAAATTCGACCTTTATCAATCAATTACACAAAAAAAAAAAAAAATCAATGATAGATCGAATAGTCTAAGTTCCAACATCTAAACATTTATTTTTATACTAACACTAGGTTGTATATTTGTTGGTACTATAATAATATATATATATATATATATATATATACATAAATTCTTTATGTAACTATATACTTTGATACAATATTCGGTATTTCATTGTTTTATTTATAAATATCGGATACCAAAAAAAGATAAACCATATACCGTAATATTAAAATCACGATATCAAAATTTCAATTCGATGTCTACCATACCATGCACACACTCCTACAATATTGAAAATGTGGGGCTGCTCTATTCACTTTTGCTTTCCCATCTTTTTCTCTATTGCAGAACTAGAAAGCTACCATATTATCAACTACTCTCTCAAAACAATTCTATATTTGAGTATGAAATTTCAAACAATTAAAAGTTATGACTCTCTTAAAATTTGTCGCAAACAACAACTATCCATAGCGAGAGAAATTCTTTGTCTTTGTCATCTACCTCTCTATAGAAATAGAATAACACGATAAAAGTCATAACCTATAACAATTGTAAATATCGAATCAAGTCGATATCCACTCAGATCAATCCATCCTAGTGGAGGAATTTTGGTAAACTTTTCCTAAATATGACCTTTCCTACAATATGACCAGCATGAAAACAATAATGCATTTTTTTTAGTGCGGTCGAAAGAACAGTGAAGTTGTTGATTCTCTTAAATTTGCAATGTATAGAAGACAGGGGTTAAGGGAGAGGAGATATTTGTTTTTTGGTTTCCTACTCGGTATCAGGTATCCGCATTAGTTCGACTATTCCAGATTCGCACTACATAGAACTCCATTCGGGGGAAGTACTCCCTGCCAAGGATTTTTCTAAAATTGTTAAGGGGGAGGAGATGTTTGCTAAATAGAGAAAGAAACAAAAAAAGAAGCAATTTTCCTCATCAAAATTGTTACATAACTTTACAAGTTTGGAGGTACTATTCATAAATTTTGGCACCTCCTTCCCTACCAAACAGAGTTCCTCACTTGTCATATCATCCCCCACCCCCACCCCCTACCCACCCTGGGACCAAAAAAGGTGTATACTGAAAATTTTATCAATCAAAATTAACAAAAATGATCTTCCACACTAATTTTTTTTTTCTTTCAAGGCAAGGGATGTGTATTGGAAAAAAGAAGCATTTACTGAATAGGGTGTGTCACTCCTCATCTTCCTCGTCCTCATCCTCGTCCTCTTCATCGTCGTCATCATCATCGAGTACTGCCTTATCCCTAGGGGGAATATATGACGGACAAGTAGGAAAGTTATCCATGTTCATTCCATGATGAAGTGCCATAGTTCGCAGCATTTCAGCAACTGCTTGATTGTGTTTCACCTGATAGGCTTGAAAATGGCGTATGTGATCCAAATCCTCCTCAACACATGTCATTCTGTTTGGTATTGACGATGATGCATAGTCTGAAGAGCGGGGTATATGAGATGGACCTGCACCACTTGAAGCCTGCCTTTGATCAGCAATGTGTCGAGCAGCCATCATCACTTCCTCAGTAGGATCGTATTGGATTCCTGATTGAGCGCTTAAAGCTGCTAGAAGATTTTCCTTCAAGATCTGAAAAGCATATAAATATTCATCAGAAAACTCATGTTTCACATCTTTAGATAATAAATTAGGGATGACTTTTGATTTTAGATAAATCGTGTAAGCGATCAAGCATGTCCAACAAAACTCCTAATGTACTGAAGTAGGAGGCGCCAACTTTTTAAGCGTTCAACATTTTCCATATCCACTTCAATGACCCAAGTAGAAACCCTATATCCGGGAACTATATATGCTTTCCTTGAACCATGAAACAACATTTCTCCCAATTCAAAATAAGTTAGTCCCCTCACAGCATTGCAAAATCAGGGAGAAGGGGCGAGAGTAGTACTAGGATGGTGGAAAGTCCTCGTGTTGCATACCTCCTTTTGCTTCTCTACCTTAACGAGGTAATGGTAACGGGTAAGATCTGCGTACATTCTACCTTCTCCAGACCCCACTTGTTGGATTTCACTGGTTATGTTGTTGTTTCCATAATTTTTCCAATCATATCATGGAAAATTCATCACATACATTTGAAAAGATGTTCAATGCAATGTTCAGAAGACATTCTCCTATATGCTAATATGTCATAAGAGCATGTAAAATGGTTTTTCTTGTTCCTCTAAGGCGACAACAACAAACCCGGTATGACCCCACATGGTAGGGTCTGGGGAGGGTGGGGTGTACGCAGACCTTAGCCCTATCTTGTGGGTTAGAGAGGCTATTTCCGATAGACCTTTGGCTCAAGTCTTGTTCCTCTAAGGCAATAGGTATAATTATTATAACTATAATAATACTTTCATCCTTGAATTAATACCAAAATATTGGGCATCAAATTGGGCCTAGGTAGGTGAGTTAATGACTTTGAGCTAAGTCCAGTCAGATGATATGCAAAAATCAAATCCATGACCTTCCGAAACAAACAAGGTAAGTTATCGTTGCTGACTTTATCAAAGGATGTTCTTCTTATCATAGTGAGATTAAATCAAGCAACCACCAATCCTCAGAGTGTGAGCAAGCAACATCAACAAAACGTAAGAATATTATGGTTATAGCTGAAATGTAACGGGATACTTTGAGTTCGAAATGGCCTTATTCTTCTAGTTACATATTAGAGTTCAATGTTTCAAGATCTGATAGTTCATAGAATTACTCTGTTATATATAAAACCTTATTTTATTTCGTTGAGAAGATTTAGACAATGCTTAACATATAATAATTTATGAATTGATCTTTTCCATTTAAAAAAAAAAATTATCTTCTCTTATGATCTCAATTCCATTCCATATTTAACTCCTCTCTTCTGGTGCTACATCGACATCTAATAACATGGGATTAGGAAGACTGTTCATGATCACCCATGAAAACATTATATAGCAAAAGATGATAACACGACTCACCTTTTTCTCAGCAGCTTCTCTCACTTTGCCCCAAAATGGACCTGTAACATTTAAGTCGATACAGTTACTAAATCATTAACAAAAGGTTAAGAATTCACCATCAAGGCGAGGTCAATATAGATTAAAGATTCATACTGATAAACCGAAATTTAGATAAAAATGTTAAGTGACATTGAAATTGTAACAAGTCTCTTGCCAAACTAAAATGAGTATTGACAAACACCATACTAATAACTTATAAGTGTAACAAACTAACAACAACATCCATATCTTTATCTAAACTATTTTGTATCGCCTACATAAATCCTTTTCTTTCATCGTGCTATGTTCTTTGCTAAATATAAGTTTAGTTTGAAAAGTTGCAATTTATTTGAGAAAACTTTCCTCTGTATGATTTTAGGTCTAACTCATCCCCTTTTAGCTCCATCATCAATCATCATAGTATTGCACATATAGATTGGTACATCCTATATGAAAATAGCAATCTCATAGCGACCTCCTCCATTTCAGTCATTCTATTCGTACTACTCTCTATATGTCATGACATTTATTGAACGACTTCAACCTGATAATCAAAATCATCTGCATTTAGGCCCATAATCTCGTCTTATCTCTCCTTTCTTCTATTTGGGCTAAATTTAACATGCATATATTTTGTCTTACTTCTACCTATCGTACTACTCAATAGTCTCAACTTTTTGTTCACTCACTTATCCTACTTCATAGATAGAAAAAGAATGTGTGGTAAACCTTAGTTTTATCAATCAACTCATTATCGAACATTATATACAAAGTATGTGCCATGTAATGTCATCCTATATATAATCTGATTATTAAGCTCATCCGAAATATTGTTGAGTAGCTCATACATAACCACAATAACAAACCCGGGCAGGCACAAGGTAGATTGATGCTGTAAAACTATTGTCGTGGAGAAATCCCTTCTCTCCTCTTTTTCATGCTTGTTACCGCTCTTTCTTACCTATCCTTTATGGACTTTCTATACAAGAACCCAAAATCTACGAGGATAACTTCAAACTGATTTTTCATCACTTTTATCATGTCGCTATATCTATATTCTATCACTCAATCCTAATGTTTCTTCCTTGACTCGTACACTTTATTCCACGATGATTCTATCACTAAGCAGTTTTATTGCAAGATGGATAACAAATAAGTTATGGTGATCTCTGGTCATTTTCCAAGCAAAAACAATTGATAGAGTCCGTACCACCACGATGCATCACTTGAATTCCAGTCTCTGGTTTATGTCCCTTACTCCATGTCTCTTTCCATTGCCTTTCCTGATGCAACTTTTACTGTTAGGAAGAAAAAGTCAAGAACTGAAAGCAAAGATAATGTTACGTGGAAAAGCTTCTCTTCTACCTCCTCTTTCTCTATCGACTGAGAGGCTGATCTTTTTGATGTGTCTGAATCAATCTGTGAGATAAGCAGACGTTAGACGAGAGTCGGGAGTTAAGATGATATCAAAAAGCAAAAAAAAAAAGATTGAAATATAGGAGCTAACACACAACAAGGGGGAGGGGGAGAACAATTAATAATACATGAGTTGATGAGAATTGGTATGGAGCATGACACAGATGGGAACCTTAGCTATCTTTTCTTTCTTTTTTTGATAATCGTTGAGTCCAGACCAGCCTGCACGCACCTCTACTAATTCCATGAGATACCTGCCACCTCCCACTAACAATAGGCATAGACATAGAGGAACAACATTGGCCTATGAAATCTAACTAAATATCTTTAAGAATAAATCCCTAAAGGCAGCCTGCTTCCATAACCCCAATATGCGATTCAAAAAATGTATATGGCTTCACTCGTTCTTCAATTATATCAAACATGTTGTAATGACAAACCAAGACAATAAGCATCAAGAAAACATGTTGGAGCATCCTAACTGAAGTCACGAGGAAAATGTAAAGTCGAATTCTGCAAGTCTCAGAATAATTAACATAAACAATTTTACTTCATCATTGCAAAGTACATAAATAACAAATTGTAATGACGAACCTAGACCCAACGGTAGAATTACTCCTACAGCAAGCTGTATATTAATGGTTCAACGCGTTAAAATGACCTCTTCGCAAAAATGTGAGAAGGTTTCACAGGTATTCACCCACTCTCCTCCGATCCTACACTAGGCTGAAAAGCACTTTGTGCATAAAGCAAGCCCTTTTATTGTTAAGTAACATAACAAATTAATTCATGTAAAAGATTGCTTCAACAAGCTCTAAATTCAATAAAAAAAGGTAATTCTTTCTACATTGACATGTCTACTCCAGTATCCACAAAATCTTTGCACCCAAAGATGAGGCCTAATGGTCATTGAAGTGGATGAAAATCACGGGAGACCAGGGTTAAAAAACATGCATGGTTTTGCAGTCAAGGGTATAGCTTAGTGATCAATAAAGTGAGGTTGAGAACCATGAGGTTTCATGTTCAAATCTCAATCGAGACAAAAAAAATATTATTGTTTAAGTTACAATAATTGACAATTCAAATTCAAAATATTTAAAAGATTTACGAAAAAATTTACGGTCAAAAATATACTTGTTTGAATCTCAAAATCCGAAAAGTGTCACATAAAATTGAACAGAGAGAGTAGGTGATTTCTTCTTCCTAATTGGTATCCCGTGGAATAACTCGAAGTTCACAAAAGTTGGCTGACACCACAATTATCAAAAAAAAAAGTCTTAGAGGTCAAAGTTAACCGATACTTGTGCTGGTGGTGTAAAGTACCACCAGGGCCAGACCCAGACCAACATACGAGTTCGACTAAACCTAGTAACTTAAAAAGGGCTATAATCATGAACTCATAAATTTCAAATCGTAGCGACGACATCTCACTCAGACACCACCAATAAAAATGGAGCACTAATAAGGGGAAAACTCCATCTTTCCTTCTTTTAAAAAAAAAAAAAAACCCAGAAAATATCAACCATTTTTAAATCCAATAAACAATTATTCTTGCATGGGTAACAAAAAAAACATAAATAGATTCATAAGGAGATAAAGAAAAAATAGGTTAATTTACATGATAATCTCTAAATCGGACGATTGGAAAACGTTCGAGAAGCCGTCGGAATTCTAGCTCGTCCATGACCGCCGGTCGTCAAAAATGGATCTGAAATCTCAGTTTTTGCGACAAAATTTCATTTTCTTTCTCATCAAAATCATAATAACAAAATAATCTCAGTTGTTGTTCCTCAGATTTGTACCAAAAGTTTAATTTTGGTCAGATTTGTGAAATAAATTTGAATAATTGTGTAAGATTTTTGAAAATCGATTCCTATATTGTATTTGGTTCAGTGATTTTGATTTGGAACTCTCTCAAGGAAGGAACCAAAGAGAAAGGAGATGGAAAATTAATTTTCTTTCTCAGTTTTTCCTTAGCACTTGAAAATTACAATTACTTTAATTTAATTTGTTAAACTAAAAAAGAAAAAACTTTTTTTTCAGAAATAAATTAATAATAAAATGATTATTTTATGATTATAAATTAAAAGTAATAAGTTAGAAATTCTAAATGGAATTAATAATGAAATTTATTAGTCGCTAAATCCTTTTTTCTTTAAAGTATAATATCATGGTGTCGAATTATTTCCTTTTTATTAGGCTTTTTATATACAATATGAATAGTTGAGGACTTGAGGTGTGTTTAGATTAACCTTTGATGATAATTCAGTAGGAAACTCACGCACAGATCATTCAGGTATGAAACCCAAGAAATCGAATTATATAAGATTTTTTTTTTTCCTTTTTGAACTCTTCAATATAGTAGTGTTCAATGTATAGAGAATCATGTTGTTATGACTATACATGTTTTACAATTCAACTCAAAGGCTAATCTATGAAGCAAAAAGAAAAGGTTTTCAACAATTTACGATTGAGATTTCTCATCGGAAATGATCTCTCTATCTTCTCAAGGTAGGAGTTAAGGCTGTGTACACACCATCCTCCTTCAGATCCTATCACTTATGGAATTACACTGAGTATGTTGTTGTATTAAGATTGAGATTTCTCCTGCATTTTTGCTCGGGCGAAAAATACTCCAGCCAAGAGGCCTGCAAATTGTTTTAGATACATATTTTCATGATTTTTCTTGGCTAAACAAAACACATTTTCAATTGAGAAAACAAAAAAAAAGTTGTTACTAACCAAAAAATATACTGGCAGTGTTGTCAAGACTAGTTGGGACATTGAAAAGGAAAATACCAGCAACAGAGAGAGGTATCTTATTTAGTGATCCCACAAGGCTGCAAAAATGCAAAGTCAAGAAGTTATGTAAATTTCGTCTGGTACGTATCGGATCCTTCAAAAGTAGTGTAATTTTTGATGATCTGATACGAATACGGCAACATTTTTGGAGGAAGAAATAGTGTACAAAATGATCATACCTATATGTAGTTGCACTTGTTTGATGAAGAAACCACATAGATGTGAAGCTAATAGCTAAGCCCAAAAATCCACTTAATGTTGTCACAATCCAAAATGTTGGCAATTGTAATAGTGGTCTGTCAAACAAATATACACATGTATACCAAAGTTATCTCCTTTTAACTCTTAAATTACAGCGTAAAATCAAACAAAAAACCGCGAAACAACTTCCAGATGAGAGAACTCAGAATGAGTATGCACGTGCAGCAGTAGAACATAAAGATGATAATCGAACAGAAGACTATTGTAAACATGACATAAACTAAGAGGGTGGTATAATGAGATAGTAGAACTCACGTCGTGGAGAGGTAATCAACTTCATTGAACACTAATACAAGGAGAAGGCCTAAAGGCAATGAAAGGGTATTATTTAGCAGAACCATTGAGAATTCATCCAGGTTCCCTGATTTCGTCACTTGTTTAGCAGTGTCCATGATTCGACGTAGAGTCAACTGAAACATAAAATCAAAAACATGACAGTTTAACTGCTTGTCATTTTGGGAAAAAAAGTATTAAGCATATTTCATGAGTTTGAACCCTACTATGGCCTGCCTGAAGTCTTTGTATATAAGTGGGAATAAAAGTAGAGGGGGCGGGCTCATAGTCGTTCGAGTTCTTAACTTCTGAGCACTATTGGGATTTCATAATTCATAAAGAAATTCGCAAGTATCAAAATTCACTTGTTGTTATTAACTTGAAGAAATTCGATGACAAGAAATTACAATTATCATGAACACGGAAATATTTGAGTACTAATAATTATATAAACAACGTTTTTCAGTCAATCGAATAGTTATGTTAGTTAAATATCAAAAACAATAGAATTCTGTGTAAAATGTTAGAACATTTTTTTTTGAAAAGCCACTACTGGATCCAAATTAGTCTGCAAGCATCTTAAACAATATGAAATGAAGTTTATACTTTCCCGTGTTATCTATATAGTGATTTGAAACTCGAAAACATTGGTAAATTTTATCTTTTTGTGGAAAGGACTGGCTAAAGAATTGCATCTTCCCAGCTGAACACTACTTCAAACCAAAGGAATCAAAAATAAAATATACATTGCATACTGCATCAATGTGTCTCAATAAAATTAGTGGCATAAAAACAAATTATAATAAGAGGCTTTAAATATATACACATAAACATAAAAATATTATTAATTTTGGATTGTCTTGTTTTTTTGTTCTTACGTACTACTTATCTTTCAGAGTATATTCTTAAAAGACACTAAGTGTTTTAACTTAACATAGTAATATTTTTATTTATAAAAGTAAGGATTAGTTCTAATTAATAAGAGATTAGATATTTGTTTGCAATACATCACGCTGGATGTTAGATGTAAAAACTTTAATTATTAATATGAAGATGTGATTTGTTCAATTCAAAATTCTAAAACATTCTTGATAAAAAGTAGATGTTCTTTTTTCTATTTTTTTATTTAAATTTTATATTTTTTTTATAATGTTCAATATTGTTTCAAGTGAAATTAAAATCGTAAAATTTACGGCCAATGCAATAGCATTAACCTCGACTCATCACGTGATCGAGCACATAAATATCTTATTAGAAAAAAAGTACCAAGCAAAAGGTACTCCTCTGTTTCAATTGGTTTGTCTGATTTCTACTTGTCTTAAATTAAAGATACGTAGAATGTACCAGAATGCTTTTTAATCTTGTGCTCTTGGAGGAAAGTTTAGAACTAAAGATTGAGTTGCCCAAAAAGGAAAGATGCATTCTTTTTTTAAACGGACTGAAAAGGAACGTAAGACAAATAAATTGAAACGCAGGGAGTAATTACTTACAGAATATGATGCTGTCAAGAAACAATTGATAATCTGCCATGTATAACCAGTAGCATGAAAAGATAGGTCTGTAATTCCTCCAGAGACTGCTGAAACAATCTGCATAGCAAACCACAGAGTTACTGTCTCCAGATTTTGATCTCAAGTCTGATTTCTGTTATCGTATTATTTTGTTGTAGTTACTATTCCTTTTTCAGTATGTCTTGGTTTCTTAACTCTTTGTTATTTACTTGAGTCGGAGGTCTATCAGAAATGACCTCTCTACTTCCCAAGTAGGGGTAAGGTCTGCATATACACACTACCCTCCGTAGACCTCTCTTATAGGATATATTTTGGCCGATTTGTACCATGCCAGGATCTTAGGTGACTTAGGTCCATGATCAAAAGATTCGCGCTTGGTACAAATCAGCCAACATATACAACAACAACAATATACCCAGTGTAATCCCGGGGTCTGGGGAGGGTAGATGTATAGAGACGTTACCCCTACCTTTTTGAAGTGGAGAGGTTGTTTCCGATAAGACCCTCGGCTCAAAGAAGTGTAACCAACACACGTTTGTAAGAAAACTAAAAACAGTAAAGTAGCAAGATGCAAGACAAGTGCAGGCCAGGCTGCAACAACAGATAGTAATCCTCATTGAAGAATAAGAAACTACGCGATAACTCCCTGTCTCCCACATAAAGTGCAATGTCAAGACGACAATGAAAGCATAATTGAATGTACAAAAATGAATCGAAGAAGAGATAGAAGCGAAGATCATGTTTAAGCTATGAGCATACCATCAGTAAAAGAGCGGTCCACACTCGACTATCATGGTGTTTGTTGAATATATACATTTCACCAACAGCAGTAATCACATTAGTAACATTCTTCAGAACAGTGACCATAGCAACATTTAGGTACTTCAAACTGCAGGAAATATGACAATCACAAGTACATTATCAGCAACATATTCCTCCAACATCACAAGTGAAAGTATCGTTATACAAAATTACGATACAGATAACTTGACAATGGTGATGCAAGTGTTTTTGAACATACCTGAACATACTTGTGACAAGCATTCCGACAAATATAACATTGACAGGTAACCAGACTTTGATCAGCCTCAACGTGAGTGGTTCCGTGGAAATTACACCAAAGAAGCTCAACATAGAAACCACAACAACAGAGACAAAGTTCTGCATAACGAGTTGAAATGTTATCAATTTCTCAATATATGGAATTTATCGAATAGTTTAAAGATTAAAGGTACCTGATAGAGCATCAAGGATATTCCTGCATTAAAGTTATAGCTCGAAAGGACGTATTTATTAACTAATATCATGCCACATGAAGATATACAGTATGCAATTCCTGATAGCAATGACTTGTTGTGTACAGTGACAAGCATATTGTTACGTATCGACTTCTCTTTGACCTCCAACTTTCCATTTTCCACATCGTTGTCAATTCGTTTAACAGCCTTCATGAAAAAAGGTCTGAAGGAAGAAAATATCAATAGAAATTAGAAGGAGTAAGTTTCCAAACTGAACAAGAGATAAATGAGGCAAAAAAGCTCCCACTAACGACCCATGTAACAAGCTAAACCAAGTAAGAAGTGTAGAACCTAGCTGATTTGGAGGTGAGTTATGCATGTATTAAATTTTGCATACGTATCCTCATAACTAACTCTTGATTACTAATGTATACCTAACTCTAACCAGCTACCACACGACTCTGAAACAGGTTCGTGAATACCATCAATGTATACGGGAGGAGTATCATGGAAGGCAATAACAAATATTTATATGCAATACAAAAGATGAAATGGAAATGAAGTCATAGGCATCAATTGGAAACACCTGTTGGATACTTCTCTTCTAACTGGACTCGAGACCTCATCGAGCAAATTCGATTGGTAAACTAAGAAGTTTCTTTCTCTTCCTTGGCCACCATTACTAGCATCGTCAATATGAAGTCTTTCCAAAATTGATCCAGGAGAATCCTGAGAAACGCCCGCGGACAAACCTCTTCAATTGGGGAAAAAAAAACAGGATCAAGGCATTAACTTTCAAGAAATGAGACAGTGGTAGGATAATGAAAAAATTCTATACAACAGACAGATGATCAAACATTGAAACCATGTCAACATAATACATAAACAGACACTTAAACTTGGCCTCAACTGGCAAGTAAGCATTCCAATTAAAGGAGTGCACATTTTGACACTTCGTGTTTACTGACAACTAAACACTCCAACTCGTCCCCAGTGTGTCATTTTGAACACCTTAACGTGGCACATAAATTTTAAAGGTGTCTAGATGATCATTTTGTAAGTTGGAGTATTTAACTGACACATTGAAGACGAGTTGAGGTGTCTACATGTCCATACTAAAGAAAGCCATACACATACATTTGATCACAAAGCCAAAAAAAGAAAAAAAAAGAAAAAACAGAACACAAAGATTTACCTTGGACTCATCTATACAGAGGTTTGTCAACTTCTAAATTTGTATAAAGAGAGAAGAAACTCAATATATGAATAGAAAGCTATGAAAATATTGTAAAACAATCCCTTTATACTTTTAATGAAATTAATATGATTTATAGATATATAGATGTCTAGTGTTTATTTTATATCACATGTTCAAAAATGTTCTTTTTTTGGTTGTTAAACTTAGGTATTATATCATGAGTCAAGTGTGTTTGGCAGAAGGCATATTTGATAGAGTCAAAACTCAAATTTGGTTGGTCAAAATTTGCACAAAGTCCCACTTGATCATATCAACCTATATTAAGTGGACATTTCTCCACACTTTCTCCGGAAGTTTAGTGCAACTGTTCTAATGAATCTTTATTTTATTACTACTATTTTTTTACTATACTTATTTTTATTAAAAACATTTTTTTTCAATCAATAATCGATCGGGAACGGTCTCTTTATCACATAAAAGTAAAAGTACTAAGGTTTGTATATACCTTACTTTTTTCAAGCTTCAGTTGTAAAAGTATATACCTTACTTTTTTCAAACTTCAGTTGTGAAATTATACCGAATATATTATGTTATTATTGTTGTTGTTTAGCTGGTTGTTATTGAATTTCTTTTTTAACCTTCAATTGCATTAGAAAGAATCATGAGCAATAGTGTTGATATATTTCACTTCTTTTTTAAAAAAAAAAGATGCCTAATAAATGGTAGGAATTTAGATTGTAGGGAAAATGTCCAATTTTTTTCTTTTTGGATATATTGAAAATAGGATAACTACACCCTTAATTTGTTTGGTTCTAATCCCTAAAAGCGCTCATCGTATCAAATATTGTACGATAAAATTTAAACTTGCACATTGTATGGGTCATGTCTGAAAACGGCGTTCAAACTGATGCTCCAAATAAGATTCTTTTTCATTTCATGACTTAAACCTGAAATTTCTAATTAAGGTTCGAGTCACCCCAATAATTCGACCACAATCAAGGTTGATGCCTCAGTAAGTCTTTATTATGATTATTCACTTATGGTACAAACCCTCTATATTGTTTGAACTCTTTGAAAATGTTGATAAAAACATGTTAGCTTCGTAGTATTTTTTTTAAAAATCTTATATAAATACAACAATATTTTTAAGAATTTTAACCGCGTAACAAATAAAACAGATCGAAATAAGAAAAAGAAAAGCAAACTCCACAATAAAATTATTTGGAAATCATTGATGGTGAAATCAGCTAGCACTTACTTGAAATTTGCAATTCATTTGAATATATCCAGCTCATATAAGCAATTATAACTATTCCACTAAGGGAAAAAAAATTGTCAACCAAACAAAATACCATCATATAAAAAAAATACAATTCGGAGTGAGCACTACTGTATTTAGTGAATATTAATGGGTCGAAACTGCTTTATTTGAATCGAAGATTTATTGAATGCGTACACGCACCCCAAAAAAAAAGTTTTCGTGACTTATCACCTCATAAGCTTATAGCAACTAAATTTCACGAGCTTTTTTTTTGTGTATGTATTTTTAAAGTTACAGATAAAAATAGTTAACCGACTTATTAGCAGGCAAATTAGTTACTAACTTAGATTTCACGTCATTACTTTGTCATCTTCATACTCCTCTCGTTAATTATTTGCTTTAATAAGTTTTTAAATTCGAAGAAAACGGGAAAATAGTAGATGCATGTATTGTTGGGGTAATTTGAAGAATGATTAGTCAATTTTTACATTATGATTTCAAAGTCATTAAACTATATTTTGTTTAGCTCGGTTTAAATATAAAAAAAGAAAGTCATTAAATAAAAATAATTTTATTTGGTGTATCAAAAATGACAATCAACTTTGTTTAAGAATCACAAAAAATATTTCTCTATGTCCTCCCAGTGACAGTTTAGTGGCATAGTTGTTAAGAAATATAATTAAGTTATTTTCATTATACTAAAATAAAATTAAGTGATCTTTTGTTATATAAACAATCTAATGACTTTTATACACTTCAATTTTGAGAGAGTACACATTTAGACCTTTCAACTTAATCTCAACTAACAACTAAATACTCTAAACTTGTTCCTGTTGTGTTTCGTAAACACCTGACGCTGATGTGACACATAAATTTTGAAGATATCGAGATCATTTTGTAAATTGGATCAACTGACACAATACAGACAAACTGAAGTGTCCAGATATGCATTCTCTAAATTGGAATATTTACTTGTCAACTAAGAGGTGGAATACATTATCTTCCTTGATGCCAATAGTGTATAGTGACACACCTAGATTTAACTTCATCTATTTTTTGGCATACATGATGGCATGAAACTCGATTACATATGTTGATTGTTCATCCACTTCTAACGTTATGACAATTTCATGTGTGAAATGACAGATAGTGGTTTGGTATAATCAATGTCAAAATACCGAGTTCTGGTAAAACCGCAAATCTATTGTTGGATATGTATAACAACATACTCAGTGTAGTTCCACATGTGAGGTTTGGAGAGGGTATGATATACGCAGACCTTACCCTTAACTTTGTGGTATAGAGAAGTTGTTTCCGATAGACCCTCAGCACATTGTATATGTATGTGATGAAAATAATTACATAACAATGTTTCATGCTAAATGTTCATTCAATACAAATGATGAAACCAATATAGGCCAAGAACTAAATAAGGTCTCTAATTCCCCTTCCCTTAATGAAGGCAACTACACTACTTATCCTACAATCTTAGATGAAGATACTACATTACATCAGAGCTAACAATTAAGTTAACAGAGAAAGGATGAGTTCGATTTTCGCCAATGCTTACGTTGAGATTTCATGGAGTCAGTTGGAAAAAGTCGAATTGATTGAAAAGCCTCGTCGACTAATTGTTAAGCGTTGGAGTTGATAAAAGATGGAATTCATTGACTAGCTCTTCTCCAGTTGCTAAGGCATCTGCATTTTCCACGGTGCAAGGAGGATCAGAATTTATTTTGATGCCTTTGCCATAAGCAGCAATGAGAAGAGCCTCAGCTCGACCTGGAACGTTAAGAAAGAATCATGAAATATCATTTAGATGGTGTAAAGACACATAAATGAAATCATAGCCTCTGTACCTCGACAAGGTAGGTGTAAGGTCGTGCGTATATCTTACCCTCCTCAGACCCCACTTGTGGGATTACACTGGGTATGTTGTTGTTTGTAAAGACACATAAAAAGGATTATGGCAAATAAGATCTTGATGCAACATCTATTAATCAAGGATTTTATTTGATATACACATTCTGAGGTGAGTGTTCAGTAAAGCTTGCAAGAGAAAGGTCCTATTTAGGAATTTCACCAACTACAAGTGCTGGGAAATGAGTTCCAACTTAGTGTTCAATGCCAAAACTACAAACTTTACGAAATGTAAAGTGATCGGCAAGAAAGAAAAAGAGGAGAAAAACTTATATACTACATGCTGGAGCAAGTATAACATATTCTGATAAAATCGTAATGTGCAAATGTTTAGGATTAAGATGAACTAAAACGTGAAGCCCTTAGAGCTTTCGTTCAATGGTGAAGGTTAGTACACACAGGATGTGTGGTAAGCACACGTCACAGATTTGAATCGTGTTGTGAACCAAGTATGGTATTTAGAAGGATAGAGGGGCAGACCCATTATCGACCAAGTACAGAAGCTGGAAAAGCGAATTTCTTTGGTTATAAGAAAAGATTACATAAAAATGTGACACCCTAAGTTTCCCTTACAGCCAGAGATCAGCAAGGACTTACAACAAGGAATATTGAAAAAGTGACTGGGGATATTGAATGTCAAAAATTGATGTCGGATTTAAGGACATCATCCACAATAAAAAGGCTCAGATTGAGACGTTGAGTATAAGCCGAAGTTTTTTTTCTTTTTTCACTAACCATTAACCATTACAAGAATCAAAATGTCACTTCCCGTTATACTACCTTTCGAGATAGATGAATAGTCTGCTGAAATGATTCCTTTGGATTAACTAGTTACACAAACCAGAAAAAATAAGAAGCCGTAAATCTTTTTCAGAAGTAAAAATGCTTAGCAGATGAAGTCTAAGTATACCTACCATGATCTTTCTTCCTTTTTAATGAAGAACTCAAAGAAGGAAACAATGAAGATGCTAGTTCCCTGCTATAATCCTGCAAATAAAATTAATTGAACGACAGACATTAGATGATGACGCCAGCAAATATGCACATGATGATATTTTGCAAGAATATTTTCTTATTACGAAACTGAAAAATCTAACTAGATGGACTTAATGAAAAGGAAACCGGCAAAAGACTTGAAATAATAAAGTAAATCCAATCTATGAGGATAGTATGTACTTGTGTTCAACATAACTAATCGCAGGAACATTAATAACCTTGTTTGAACGTTCTCTTGTAAGTCGAAACTCACTCTTCCACGCACTTGATGGCACAGGAGTAACGGAAAATCCGGATGCAACTGACAACCCAATCCATAATCCATAGCCAAATCCCCCACTCCACCATCCCTTGATACAGTAAAGATATATTGATAAATAGTGTACCAGCAAAATAAAATACAAATAAGATACACTAGACAAGTGCTATCCACAAAATGGTGATAGTTCCAAGACGGTAAATGGCCAACAACGAGTATTTAATGATGCAAAAATTCTTTTTTGAACAAGTAAATACATAGATTGCTTAAATCATGTAAGGGTGAAATACGTATGATGCCTATACTTTCGTTAACAATACACTTTCTAACCCGCCTTTACCTACAGAATAGAGTAATACATCATGACAATCAACAAGGAAAATTCCATGTATTTGAGAAACCTAAACTCACCCACCCCTAACCCCATGCCAAGAAGGAGCACAAAAATCCAAAGGACCTCCACCAAATGATGTATCAATGCATAAAGACTTCATACAATTGTCTTCCAGAAACATATGAGAATATTGGATGATTAGCTTGACCAACCACAACTACGAGTTGAAATGTTATTGAAAGAAGAT